GTCTCAGGCAGGGAGTGACGTTTTCCTGGTCAGGCCTCATAGTCTCAGGCAGGGAGTGACGTTTTCCTGGTCAGGCCTCATAGTCTCAGGCAGGGAGTGACGTTTTCCTGGTCAGGCCTCATAGTCTCAGGCAGGGAGTGACGTTTTCCTGGTCAGGCCTCATAGTCTCAGGCAGGGAGTGACGTTTTCTTGGTCAGGCCTCAGGCGGTGTCCGTAACTTAACATTGCATCCAAAGGCTTCCTGCTTTGCCGATCACTGCTCTTGATCTGGGGGATGGGTTCACTTTGATGAATTCCCCCAAGGTTGCTGTTGCAAACCACTCATCAGCCAACAGGCAGTTTAACCTTGATAACCTTCTTCTAAACAAACAAAGACTGAAAGACGTTTGGAGGATCTCGCACAGTGAAGGCCACCTGTTATTGAAGCGCTTTCGTAACTCATAGAACGATGGCACTGTTCCTCTACATAGTAAAATGCTTATCGCTCTAAATAACCAAATTCCATTTTCATTGATGAAAACGTGCCTGAATCTTGCCTAGGTTTTATCTCACAGGTCTGGTCCTGTTGCGGTTATGGACTGTATCTGACGTTACTGTGAGGTCAGTATGTACGGCTTCCCGCTGCACTCTCAGTGCATGGTGTGAGGTCACCAGTAAAACTGCATGATGGCTTGTTCCGGATTCAGCTGTCTATTGAGCCAAGATACAAATATTATAGCTGATGTATAATAAGCAGTTTCCTGCACAAGGTGGCTGGTCTGTGTTTAAGTAATTTAGACTGGAAGTACGGTTTACACTCAGTCATTAATTATCATCATTGTTCATAACAATAATAATAATAGGAAAAAGAATTTGGCGGATGTAATGCAGATTCCTCCTCTATCCATGAGTCTTTTCTTCCCATATGATGTTGCAGACTCCAGTAGTGCAGTCAGATCCCTGTTATCTGCGCGGCTAAATTTATCGACGCAGACGTCCATCTCCATGCTGGGTCTGCATGTGTCTCACACGAATACAGACCGCCCCTGTGACCACGAGCGTGGCTGTGCGCTGCCGGTTGCCATGGCAGCCCGTCTCGGCGCGCTCTAGCCGGCTGCTCATTAAGCACCCCCCCCACCCCCCCGTTAAATACTCTCGGCCTGTGACATGGGAAATACCTACTGCTATTTTAGTTTTTTTTCCTCCTGATTCTTGCAAGGTCACCTAGAGGGAAAGACTGCCTGCTTATTTCTGGGCCAATTAAAAGCCTCCCCCCCAAATCTTATGTCATGTTTGCTTAATATGCGTCAGGTGATGCAGTAGCACCTGCACCGGTTTGATAAGACGGATTTATGCGCAGCAGAACGGTATGCAACGACCACACGAGCACTGAAGCAGGTTTGTATGTTTAAAATGCTTCTGCTTCCCATCCTCTTTTCATAAACACTCACCTGATTCAGAGCCATGATAAGCGTGGCCTCTGTCCCAGCAGCACAAAGCCTGAACGGGAAGCCAGGCAACTTCAAGGCAGACTCTCAAACACACAATCACACACATGTACATAGGCAGCCCAGACACCCTATTTCACTCAAAGGCCAAGTCATGACATTGATCTTATGTAGTTAGGAAAATGGCGTAAAACAGCTTCGGCTGAAGGCAGTGATTGTTGGTTGGTTTCATCTGGTTGGTTTCACAGCACCTGAGGTAAGATAGGGGGCGGCCCGGGCGGCACCGTGGCCAGGAGCTCGGCAGGAACGGGATCGCTTTCACGGCCGAGCGATCAGCGCCGGCCATTTGGCAGGCGGGGACCAGGATTAATTCTGCTCCATTTCATCTGTGGGCCGCGTGCCTGAGTTTGCAGACGGCGCGACGGGAATCGCTGACGTGTGGCCTGTCCCTCTCTGCTTTCAGCTGGGGGACTCAGGGTGACTTCACCACCACGCACCCCCTGCCAGCCGTCAAAGTGAAGCTGTTCACCGAGAGCACGGGCGTGCTGGCTCTGGAAGATAAGGAGCTGGGACGGGTAGGACCCCACCCCCCACCCCCCGCCATGGCTTGCTGGGACGGACCCAGCTCGGACACAGGCCTCACACTGGTTTACTCTGCCGCCATCGGTCAAACCCTGTTATAGCTGTACAGTACATGTTCACATGATAGAACCTTAACACCTATTACAGAGGTTTATTACTGGACTGCCTTACTCACTGTACATGTTCACATGATAGAACCTTAACACCATTACAGAGGTTTATTACTGGCCTGCCTTACTCACTGTACATGCCTGTAAATGTCAGACTACTACAGTAGGTTGACTTGGGTGACTTTAGCTCTCACAACACAAACAAGCTTCAGGTTCAAAGTTCAGGTTTCATCTGACAGATATTCAGGGCTATCTTTGTCCCTTTCAGAAATTAGACTTTAATGAACTTAAAAACTCTTACGACATTAATCTCTCATGTTGAAAACTTATCGCTGTTATGATTTACTGAAAAAAATGTAAGGAAACATTTTTTGCTAGTGGTGTTCAGTGGCACTCGCAGGGTTTGAAGGTAGTCGGTGATGATCTACTGGCACTCGCAGGGTTTGAAGGTAGTCGGTGATGATCTACTGGCACTCGCAGGGTTTGAAGGTAGTCGGTGATGATCTACTGGCACTCGTAGGGTTTGAAGGCAGTCGCTGATGATCTACTGGCACTTGCACGGTTTGAAGACAATCCATCCTCCAGTGCGGGGGTTACTGGGCTTTTTCTGCCAGACCCTCAGTTTGTGGATAATATTTTTGAGACCCCCCCCCCCGCCCCAACAAACATGAAAGATTATAGAGAGAGAACAAAGAGGGGGATAAAGTTATTATTATGGTATGGCATTACATTTGAATGGCCAGTCTAGACGGACACAAATCTAACTGCTGTGAAGGTTGTAATATGAAGCATTGCACTGTTTCTAGAATGGCTTTATATAATCTTTATTTATCATTGAAATATAGGGAAAAAAAAAAAACAAAATTTTGTCTCAACATACTTGGATATGAAGCATCTTTATTCATATTAAAAAAAAAAAAAAAACTAATGCATAGAACTAGAATAAAGAAATCTCAGTGTCCTGAAACTAATATCAGACTAGTGAAAACCAGCTATGTTGTACCTCTTACCTCATTCAGTCCATGACTCTGAGGTTTTCCATGCCTAAGGCTGATGGCAGCACTTCCTGAGCAGTGTACGGACTGTCAGCCCCATAGCGCCCTCTACTGACCGGCCGCCGCTGCTCAGATGGATGCATGGTGAATGCATGGTGAATGCATGGTGAAGCACGTTAGACCAGCATTACCTAGTCATGCAGCTACAACCAATAATGCTACTTCTGAATATAAATCCCCATTGACGAATATTTTTGTCAGTTTTCGTCAATGAAATGAACACTGGTTTAGCCATCCTGACTCGTGGCCCAGCCTCTGCTCTAGTGTATGCTGGGTTGATGGGACTGAAGGTGCGATATAAAGTACAGCAGTCCATCACTTCGGTTTCACAGTCACGGTCTACGTGCTGTGTATGATGTTCCTGTGTTTATCATGCGCCATTTCATTTTGCTCAGTTTCTCCTTAACCCCCTCAGGTCGTCCTGCACCCCACTCCCAACAGTCCAAAACAATCCGAACTGCACAAAATGGTCGTATCAAAGGCATGCCCCGACCACGACCTGAAGATTAAGCTGGCCATTCGCATGGACAAGCCGCAAAACATGAAGCATTGTGGGTAAGTTGGGCTTTTCTCTGGTATCCAGGCTGAGACATTGTTGCACAGTGCTATGTTCTTAGCGCCATCTGGTGGTTGCTTGTATTTTCCATTATTTTCACTCGGGATCCCCAATTTCAGTCCTGGAAGACCTGTCTGCAAAATCATGCCTCTGCTTAAACACAACTTATTAAAATCACCAGCTAATTGCCAGATTTAGTAGGTGTCTTTAAGCAGGGGAATCTGAAGACTGTGTTTCACTGGCCCTCCAGTGTATTTAAATGTTTAAAAATATGATTCAACTATGCAAACAACATTAATACATCTATTGGAATATCAACATATAATCTTTTGAGTGGGTGCTTACTGATTGTAGCTGCCCACACGCACTGGGACATAGGTCCCCTAACATTTTACACTGTGTATTTAAGCATGAGTTTGTTACCTGAAATATCCCTGCATTTTTTATTTCCTTACAAATACAAATTAAAAATTAAGTGTACAGTAAAATCACATGTGCTATTGCCAGTTCTCCAATATCTACTCGTAGCCCATGTACGTTGTTGTACAGTTGTTTTTTGTACAGTTTGCTTTATTTAATGTACCGCACTGCTAATAGGAACGCGTGACCAAAAACTTTCACTCATTTATGTGACAGTAAAGGTGATTTGATTTTAAAAGTTTAATGTGATAACGATAAAAAGTTTTTTAAAAGTTAAAAACATTACATTTTCTTTCAATTTACTCAGCAAGCATATTTATCAAAAGCGTGTTAGGACAAGTATGCACCAGAGCGCCCTGAGGTTTATATACATAACCACCCTAATGCTCTGACAATTATAAAATCTGATTTTGTAGGTGGAACACAAATTGAGTAGGTGGAGCACAAATTGAGTAGGTGGAGCACACATTGAGTAGGTGGAGCACACATTGAGTAGGTGGAGCACACATTGAGTAGTTGGAGCACTACTGGCATCTTTATGAGTATTGTGGTGCTGAGACGGTGCTGGGTCTTCCTCTGGGAGGTGTGCCTGTCTCCTTGTTCTCGCTCCCACACACTGCAGTCCTGTGCTCTGCATTCTGCTGCTGGGTGAGCAGTGAGAGAAGCTGTACTCTCACCCGCAGCATCTCCCCCGGTGCAGCATTGGTAGGAACAGGAGCCTGCTTGCTCCCCGGTGCAGCATTGGCAGGAACAGGAGCCTGCTTGCTCCCCGGTGCAGCATTGGC